TGAGCCCATGAAAGGACCTGCATAGTCCTAACAGAGTCCAGGATTTACCCAGCCATTCCCATAGATGTGGGGGAGCTGCTAGCGGTAATTTTTGTCCATGTTGGCAGTCTGGGCACTGCCCCACCATTGCAGCTATGTCTACATCCAATCCTGGCCACCAGGCATAACTTCTCATCCACATCTTCATTTTGGAAACTCCTGGATGGCCCTGGTGGAGTTCATCCAGTATCTGGCAGCGACCTTTATTCAGGACAATCATTCCTGCTCCCCACAATAATATGTCATCCTCAACTATGATCCGGTCTGTCTGGGTCCAAAAGGGTTTCGTTCTGGTTGTGATGGCCCTTTGGTTTCCCCCATCGCCACCAGCTGTTTCACTTTGGCCAAGACGGGATCATTCAGCCTCCAAAGTTTGATATTGTCAGTCGTGACTGGAAGTGTGTTCAGGAAATTTAAAATCATTATGGACTTTTCCCGTGGCGGTAAGACCAGGGGGTGTATCTGCCAGCAGGAGATGGCTCAATGCATCCGCATTTGCCACTTTGCCTCCTGGATGGTGTTCCAAATTGTAATCATACACACTTAGTATTAGAGCCCGCTGCTGAATTCAGCCTGAAGCTATGAATGCCACTGACTTGTCCTCTTTAAGTAAACCTGGCAGGGATTTGTGGTCCATTATTATTACAAGTTTACATCCATAAAGATATTGGTGAAACTTCCTGACTCCAAATATGACCGCCAAACCTTCCTTCTTTATCTGGGTCTATTTATATTCTGCTATAGCCCAACTCCTGGATGTATATGTTATTGGGCATTCCTCTCCATTGGGCTACCTAAGCACTAATACTACCCCGATGCCATACGGAGAGGCATTGCATGTTCACACTTGGGATCATAGTGTGCCAACACCTTAGAGGATGGTAGCTGTTTCTTCACTTCCCTGAAAGCTATTGCTTGTTTACATGACCATTTCCAAGTCTGACCCTTTTTTTAATTGAAAAGAGTTGATAAAAAGGTGCCAGGATGGAGGCCAGGTTATGTATGAGCTTTTCGTAATAATTCACCAGCCCAAGGAACGACCTAAGCTCCAGGACTGATGTGGGACCCAGGCACCTTTTGATTGCTCTCATTTTATCTTCCAATGGGTGTAATCCAGTCTTGTCGACTCTGCAGCCAATGTAGATCACTTGGGATGCCTGGAACACATTTTCTCCTTTTCAGGCATATACCCGTCCATCTGGGAGAAATATCTAAGGACTATGTCCAAATTCTCTCAGTGTTCCTTATTGGTTTTCCCTGTTATTAGCACGTCATCCAGATAAATAGCGACCTGGGGTAGACCTTGTAAAATGTTCTCCATGTCTGCTGAAAAATGGCACAGGCTGACAATACCCCAAATGGCAGCCTGTTATATTGGTACAAACCCTTAGGGGTATTAATTGGAGCATACTTCTGGGAATCCACACCCCACCACAACTGCAAGTACACCTGGCTCATGTCCAGCTTCATAAAGGACAGCCCCCGTGCCAGCTTTGTGTATAAATGCTCTGTGTGAGGGATTGGGTATTTATCCAGCAGTTTCCCTTTGGTGTAAAATCCCCCCAAAGGCGAACCGAGCCATCAGACTCACAATTGGTACGACCGCTGGTGACCATTCTGCAAACTGCACTGGTTTGAAGATTCCTTCGCTTTCCATCCTTCTAATTTCTGCCTCTACCTTTGCCCGTAAAGCAAATGGCACTGGGCAGGCCTTGCAGAATCACGGCATTGCTTCCTGGTCAACATGCAAGGTGGCTTTGCCTCCTTTGTTAGTCTCTAGACCTTCCTGATAAACTTTCAGGTATTTAATTAGAACTTCACTCAGGCCACCATTTTCTAAGCAAAATATGTTAAGCCAATCTCAGTGAATCTTTCTCAACCAATTTCGCCCTATTTGGCTTGGGCCCGAGCCTTTTACTACAGTCAAACTGAACCAGCTGCTTCTCTTAAGAGGTTGGAACTGAAGTTGTACCCTTAATATGTAGAGGTTCCCTGGTATAGGTTCAGTCTAGCTGAGTTATTGTGCAAACTTAAGGGTTGAAGTCCAGAATGAATTTTGTTAAAAACTGGTTCTGTGATCACTGAAATGGCCACACCAGTATCGACCCCCATTAGAATCGGGAGACTATTTAGCCAGATGTTCATGTTGATTGGTGCTAGTTTGGATGTCGCTGAGCAATTTCACTGTTCCAACCCAGATGTAGGTGGATTTTCCAGGGTGTGCACACTCTTGGATACCGGCCTAGGAATTCTTTTACTTAATTTAGGTCTAATGGGACTCTTTTTCTGTCTCGATACTGCATTTCGGCAACAACTACAATGGTTTGCCAGGCCGGATCCTGAAGAAAGTTTTAACCATTTGGCCAAGGCTTGGCTTTGTTTTGGGGTTTTGCTGTGGGCTGACCCAGAGTCCCTCTGATCAGGATATGTCCTGAGAGAGGCTATGCAATTGCCTTCACTCAAATAGTGTTCCCCAAGCTCAGTCAGCCTGGCGAGGGTATCCGCTTCCGTTAGAATGCCCTACAACTCATATGCCTCACGCGCTGCATTTTCCAATGATAAAGCTAGTTGTTGTGCTTGTTTGAAGTCCAACTAGGCTTCAGCTAGTAGGCACTTTTGCATGGTTATATCATTAATCTCACTCTCGTCGCCACTGAAATAACTCCACTGAGGTTCATATCCCGTCACTAAGTCATCCTTTATTTACACGTGGAAAGTCCTTGTCATTGATCCAGCTCCCTCAGAGCCAGCTCTCAGAGTGAGCAGAACCTCTGACACTCCTGGTTATATCCGTCAGCCAGGGATCTCTGATTGGACCAGATTAACAGCCCCAGTCAAGGAACTCATATTCTATGAGGACCACCTGGGTTGACCTCATTACAATCACTACATCAAGTACAGCTCGATCATTAGCAGAGTTTAGTTGGTTTGTATTTGTTTATTAATGGGATGTGGACACTTCTGGCTGGGTCAGCGTTTATTGCCCATCCTTAAATAGCCTTGAGAAGATGGTGGTGAGCTGCCTTCTTGAACCACTGCAGTCAGTTTGAGTCCTTCAGAGAAGGAAACTGCCATCCTTACCCAGGCTGGCCTACATGTGACTCCAGACCCACAGCAACGTGGTTGACTCTTAACTGCCCTCTGGGGCAATTAAGGCAATAAATGCTGGCCTGGTCAGCGATACCCTCATCCTGTGAATGAATCGAAGAAAGTTCTGCTGCACTTGTCCTTTGAGGTGGGAGTGTCAGTGTGTTTGGAACATGTTGTTGAAGGTGCTGTGGTGAATTGCTGCAGTGCACCTTGTAGATGGAGCTGTCATGGCTGCCACTGTGCAATGCTGGGAATGTTGGTAGATGAGGTGCCAACCAATCTGGCTGCGTTGTGTTGGGTGATGTTAAGCTTCTTGGGTTTTGCTAGAGCTGCAAGGGGAGATGGGCTTCTGTCTGAAAGTCCTTCAGACGCTGGATGTGTATTTTCGAGGCATCATATTTTATGTGCAATCAGTCAACCCAGTTATTTCTCTTGGAATCAATGCATTGTGAGAATAATTCAATGATGCAAAAGACTGGAGAACTTTAAATCTAAGCAAGATGTGCATAAAACGAACTGTTTCATGTTTCCAGTAAGGATTTTTTTGCCAATTTAATATGCAATTTGCTGGATCGAACCCTGGCTTCAAAACAGGTCCCAACCCCAGTCAGAATTCTGAGATTTTGCTGGTTGTACTGGCTCAGAAAGCCTCTTCAAACTGCACACATATTCTTAGGTGCATTCATAGCCACAGTTTAACTCTCTTCCTATCACAGGATATTTAATTTACTAAGAAACTATCACTCATTCCACTATTAAATGTATCAGCATAACTTTCTGTTTAAGTCATTTGCAATGGTTTTAGGTCAAGTTGCACACAGGTAGAGGACATGACAACATTCTCGAAAAGGCTTCCCAAAGCTGATAATCCAATTTTTCTGTTGTCTTAGTGAATCTTCACCTGGTGAAGATTCTTAAACTCAACAAGGGATACTTTTTTAATGAAAAGAGAAAAACAAGAAAGAGTTACATTCAATTATAGTGAATGATGGTCATCATAAAAACATTCACACCCACCAGCCAATAGTGTGTACCATCTATACAGGAACTCCCTAGTCTTTTGTCAACAGCAGCCATGATTTATACCACCAGAATCATAGCACCCCTAAAGTGTGGGGGACAGGCCTTTCAGCCCAACATCAACCTTCCAAAGAATGTTCCACCTAGCCCTACCCTATCCCTGTAACCACACATTTCCCATGGCTAACCCACTCAGCCTGCACACTATGGGTAATTTAGCATGGCTAATCCACCCTAACTTGCACATCTTCAGACTGTGGGAGGAAACTGGAGCACCCAGAGGAAACCAACACAGACACAGGGAGAATGTGTAAACTCCACACAGACAGTCACCCAAGGCTGGAATTGAACCTGGGTCCCTGGTGCTGTGAGGCAGCAGTGCTAACCACTGAGCCACCATGCTGTCCTGACTAGGGTAGCAGATTTAAACAGATGTACCTTCATGTCTGCTCCCCTCCCCACTCTCCCAAAAGTCACGTACACACCAACCTCCCTTGTAAGTATAATGCCATTTCCTCACTGAAACTGTGTCCAGATCCTGGAACTTGCTCCCTGCCAACATTTTGGGTGTTTCAACAACCCAATGACTGCAGTGGTTCAAAAAGGCAACTCACTACCACCTTCTCAAGGGTAATTAAAGATGGGCAATAAATACTGGTTTTGCCAGTGATGTCTACATCCCATGGCCAAATTTAAAAAAGGTATATAAATATCGGTACCCTCCGTTGCAGACTAATTACTTACCAGTGGAGATTTTTGCGGTAAAAGTGGGAGTTGGAAACATGCAATTAAAATATTCAGAATATCAGCAGTGGAGAGTGTTCAGTACAAACCAAGTTTGTGTTTTACAGAAAGTGGCATCTCAAGCTGTTGAATGTGAAAACCGTACACAGCCCCGTTCAATCCGCAGAAGTAAGTACAGTCTCTTATTCAGTGTTTAATGGCAAGTTCCGAGAAGTCATCATTTATGAGTTGGTAAGATTGTCTGAAAGAGGAGCAGGGGTAGGACATACAATCCTTCGAGCTAGCTCCAGCATTTACTAGGATCAAAGCTAACATTGATCTCAACACAGCCTTCCTGTCTTATCCCCATCTGCTGGGTCAAAAGCCTTGAACTCCTTCCTAACAGCACTGTGAGTGTGCCTATGTCCTAAGCAACTTTAAGAAGGCAGTTTATCACCACTTTCTCAAACAGTGATGCCCATACCCCATTAATAAATTTGAAAAATTGAAAACCTTTTTGAAAATCCAAAATCTTAAACATTCTTAAATCTTAATAATAAATAAAATTTCCACATCATTAGACACAATGGAAAAGATACATTTTCATGAGGACTATCAGATCCTTATGCCAATTTGACATTGTAGCAAACTCCACATAGCTCAATGAAAAGCTGTTCCAAAAGAAGATCTTTCAGTCCAGTGAAAGACATGAGTTAAAACTTTATAGAATTCTGTAAATTGTTTTGAGAAAGAATAAAGTCATCAAGTCACAGAGTCATACGGCATGGAAACAGACCCTTCAGCCCAACTTGTACATGCCGACCAGATATCCTAAATTAATCTAATTCGATTTGCCAGCATTTGGCCCATATCCCTCTAACCCCTTCCTGTTACATACCCATCTGGGTGCCTTTTAAATGTTGTAATTGTACCTGCCTCCACCACTTCCTCTGACAGCTCATTCCATACACACACCGCCCTCTCAATAAAAGTATTGTCCCTGAGGTCCCTTTGAAATCCTCCCCCTCTCACCTTAAACCTATCCCCTCTAGTTTTGGACTCCCCTACCCTAGAAAAAAGACCTTGGCTATTCACCCTATCTATGCCCCTCATGATTTTATAAACCTCTGTAAGGTCACCCCTCAGCCTCCGACCCTCCAAGGAAAATAGCCCCAGCCTATTCAGCCTCTCCCTATAGCTCAAACACTCCAACCCTAGCAACATATTTCTGAATTCTTTCAAGTTTAACAACATATTTCCTTTAGCAGGGAGACCAGATTTAAACGCAGTATTCCAAAAGTGGTCTGACCAATGTCCTACACAACCATAATATGACCTACCAACTCCTATAGTCAATGCACTGACGATTAAAGGCAAGCATACCAAATGCTTTCTTCACTGCCCTGTCTATCTGCGACTCCACAATACAGGAACATGAGGAAGCCATTCAGCCCTTCAAGCCTGCACTGTTCACTTTTCAATGAGATCATGGCTAATCCACGCCCTAGTTCCATCTCCCCACCATAGCTCTTTTAACCATTTTTATGTTAGTCTAATAAAAAAAAATCAGTTGGAAGAGCTCCAGATTTCCACTACCCTTTGTGTGAAGAAATATTTCCTGCTCTCCACTCCCATTGCCATTTCGATCTGATTTTAAGATTATCCCCCTTAATCTTAGACTCTCCCTCTCTCTCCTTGAAAGGTCTCAATTATATCATTCCTTAATCCTCTATAATCAAGTCCATGAAACCTGCCTTTATATGCCAAATAAGTTAACCTTTGTAGTGTTTTTGAATTGAATTTACACTGCACCGTCTCTGAAACCAATCTATTCTTTTTGATTTACGACTCCCAGCACTGATTGCAGACCTCCAGATGTGATCTAACCAGATCTCCATAAAGCTGTTTGTAACATTACCCCCATCCCTTTGTATTTTACAACTCTTAAAAAAGGCTGACATACCATTGGCCTTTAAAATTACTATTTGTACCTGCCCTGTAGGTTGTAGTGAATATTGTGCACCTAAATCTCTCTGCTCATTCATATATCCCAGCTTTCTTACCACAGAAGTTAGGCCCAAATGGTACGGCCATACATTTTCCACACTAAACTCCAACGGCCACAGTTGTTTGCAACTCATCTAATCTATCAATTTCCTTTTGCAGTTTTCTGTTCCCGCCGTACATTTTCCCTGACACCTAACTTAATATCACCAGCAAACTGAGATCTATGGCTGTCCATCTAAGTCAAAGAGCAGGGAAATGTTCAGTACAGAATCCTGGGGAACACTGCAAGTCGTATCCTGCTGATATGTTTGCATTGTCAATGTTCTGTGCTCAAGATAATCTAGTCTATGGGATCTGTCTGTATAATTAAACACCTTATAGTGCTGGAATCATTCCCTTGAGCTGTAGTGTCTCTACACTGAGCTGGGCTAAATACAAGCTACTATATGTTCTGATTGCTATTAAGTTTTTATGCAAGTGTTTTCTGATCATGGTCAGGGTTTTAATTTGCAACAATTATCGTTTGTGGTGCTTAGAACATTTTGATTTTGAACACAAGCCTCTTTTGGGAACAGGATTTTATTCAATGAGGGTAACTTTCACGGTTACTCAGTCAGCCAGATGTCTGGCTTAACCCAGACCCCTGATTACAGTCCACTGATACTGACACTAACTCTGGATCCATAGCAATGTGGATGGCTCTTAACTGCTCTCTGGGCAGTCAGAGATGGGAAATACAGGCTAGTCTAACCAGTGATGTTCACAAAAGGACATAAAATGTACTCTGGGCATGGATTTCAATGCCCACCAGTAAGAGTGGCTGGGCAGCAGTATTACAGATTGAACTGGTCAGGCCCTAAAGGATACAGCTGCTAGAAAGGGTCTGCAGCAGGTGGTGAGGGAACCAACAAGAGGGAAAAACATACTTGACCTCCTCCTTACCAATCTGCCAGCTGCAGTTGCATCTGCCCATGACAGTATTGGTAAGAGTGACCATCGCACAGTCCTTGTGGAGATGAAGTCCCGCCTTCACATTGAGAATAACTTCTATCGTGTTGTGTGACACTATCACCGTGCTAAATGGGACAGACTTTGCACAGATCTAGCAACTCAAGACTGGGCATCCATGAGGCGCTGTGGGCCATTAACAGCAGCAGAATTGTACTCCAGCACAATCTGTAACCTCATGGCCCGGTATATCCCGCACTCAACCATTACCATCAAGTCAGGGGATCAACCCTGGTTCAAGGGAGAGTGCAGGAGGGTATGCCAGGAGCACCAGGTATACCTGAAGTGAGGTATCAACCTGGTGAAACTACTAAACTGGACTACTCATGTTCCAAACAATATAAGCAGCAAGGGATTGATAGAGCTAAGCGATCCCACAGCCAAGAAATTTGATCTAAGCTCTGCACTCCTGCCACGTCCAGTCGTGAATGGTGGTGGACAATTAAACAACTCACTGGAGGAGGAGGCTCCACAAATATCCCCATCCTCAATGATGGAAGAGCCCAGCACAACAGTGCAAAAGATAAGGCTGAAGCTTTTGCAGCAATCTTCAGCCAGAAGTGCCGAGTGGATGATCCATCTCAGGCTCCCCCAGTGCTCCCCAGCGTTACAGTTACCAACCTTCAGCCAATTCGATTCATTCCACGTGATATCAAGAAATGGTTGGAGACACTGGATGTTGCAAAGGCTATGGGCTGTGACAACATTCTAGTAATAATACTGAAGACGTGCTCCAATAACTGCCACTCCCCTAGCCAAGCTGTTCCAGTATAGTTACAATGCTGGTATTTACCAGTGTGGAAAATAATGTGGAAAATTGCCCAGGACAAATCCACCCCAGCCAATACCATAAAATCAGTCTATTCTCAATCATCAGAAAAGTGATGCAAGGTGTCAGTAACAGTGCGATCAAGCAGCACCTACTCAGCAATAACCTGCTCAGCGATGCCCAGTTTGGGTTCCACCAGGGCCACTCAGGTCTTGACCTCATTACAGCCTTGGTTCAAGCATGGACAAAAAAGCTTAATTAGTCCCATCCTGCCATTTAAATTTCCTGCACATTATCCCTACTCTCTGTTTCTTGCTCCTCAGCCAAGCTCCTAACCAGGACAATAATTTGACTTCAATTCCATTACTACTATCCTTTTAGGAAACCAACCAACCTTTCCTGATCTGATCTTCAGTCTCAGTCAGTGTGATTGACTGTTAGTTGCCCAGCAAGTTATTCAGTTATTTCAATCCACTGTCACAGGCCATAAGCAAGGTTCATTACTGCCCTTTTGGGGCAACTAGGGATGGGCATTAAATGCGTAACTTTGAATGAATATGAACAAAAAAGAGAAAGATAGGACATATTAACATCGCAGGAGCATCCAAATCCACAACTTTAAAATGAAATGGTACATAAACAGATATTTTGTGAACCCCATTATCCCATAATGAAGAAGTAGTTTCTCTGTTTCCTATGGCATTGGTCAAAGGAGGTACATTGAACCCGCAACCTGTAACCTGCCCAATCTTCTTTTAAACACTCTGAAGGGATCTCTCACACCAACCTGAAGAGGCAGGCATGGTCTTAGATTAAAATTCAACCTGCATTTTTAAGTCTAACATGCCAACAGACCTTGTGCATGCTATTTGAGGTTGGGCGTGGTGAATTTGGCAGTAAAGACTGCTGTGTTCCAATGTTCCAAATAACAGATAACCAATGGTAGAATGGTTGAATTAAATCCACATGTACCTTTCTGTTTTGTTTCTCTTAAGTTGGTTCAGCGAGAGTTGGGCCATAGTTCGGATGAATTAAGAGATTATAAGTCTTTCAATCGGTCTGATCCTTTTAAGCTGCTTTTACATTACCACTTATTTTTGTACTGAAACGCCATTTATGTAGGACCTAAAATGCTCTAAGACCCTTCACAGTGATACAACGAGGTACAATGAGATACAATGAACAGAAATGTTTCCTTTGGGTTGCAGGACTTTGGAGCCTCTTCATCAACTCCTGCAGGCACTCCACTCACACCATTTGCATTTGTATACAAATGTTTTCCCTCTGCCTATAAATTCTGTGTGTGCTTCTCTCTCACTTCACCTGACAAAGAGGCTACGCTCCAAAACCTTGTGCTTTCAAATAAACCTGTTGGGCTATAACCTGGTGTCATGTGATTTCTGAC